TCTCCTCCTCTCTCTCTCTCTCTCTCTCTCTCTCTCTCCGCCACCAGCTCCCTTCTTTTCTACGTAGGTGAGAGAGTCGAGGCGATTAGCCCCGCGGCGTGATTATACGCGGGGGTCGATATCGATGTCATCGGCGTTGATTATCCACCAAACGAAAATCCGGTTTCCTCGGTAACCCGTTCCACCCTGGATATCGTGTTTTAACCTCTGACCTGATCCTTTCGCCTCTTCTCCAACCGCCTTCCTCCAGGTTTATTCCATCCTTCGTGTTATCCTTTTCTTTTTCTTTCTCTTTCGCGAAAACGATGCAGATCCGTTTCGTTATACCCGAATCGAATCACTATTGGATACTATTTCTTTCGTGTCGGCGACAGGTGTTTTCACGGTCTCGAGATATCCGTTTTTCCGTGCTCGACCAGGCTGTTGGTTTGTCTCGTTCCTTTTAACTGTTTTTTGTTTCTTGGTTCTTTTTTTTTTTCCTTTGTTTCTTTGGATTCTGATGCATCGGTTTGCATCATTTTATGATCGGTGAGATGCAGAGGAGGAGAGTTGTTCAGGATTTTCGTGTCGCCTGAAGCGCGAATTCTATCGAATTGATCGAAGCAGATCTCTTCGATATTTCTGTGATATTCGAATGTTGTTTCTTGTAATAAATATTCGAGCAAGTTTTGCGGGAAGAATTTTTCGTTGCCCATCGTTCTGAATGAAATTCGTTCTTCTTCTGAAAAAGCGTTCCACGAATAAATTAACTGGTTAATCTGGTTAAAATATGAATCGTTGAATATGACGAAAGTTCTGTTCGATTTTAAATATAAAAATTATCGAGGCTCTTGTAATTATTTAATTTGAAAATATTATGCGTTAATTAATTACGATCCTTTTTTTGAAAATTTCGAGTACGATGATAATCTTTCGTCAGCGATTAGAGCATCGCCATTTTTAATACTCGAGAACGTTGTTATTTTCACGATTATCGCTATCGTCTCGATAAATATTACATACACCCATATACGATTATCTCGATTACGTGACAAATCGAATCGGTCATTGAACTCGATACAAGTTCCATTTAAGATAAATCGACTAATCTTAAGATCTTCAATGTAAAGTCTTTTTTAAATCTTTTTTTTTTTACCCAAACGCAGAAAAATAAATTTAACAAATTCTCTTATCTTTTTATTATGAATTACAATCGCTTTGTTACGAGTTGCACTCAAAACGAGTAATAAAACTACTAATTTTAACCAAGAGTCGAAAAAACTAGCGTCACGATTATTGAAATTATCACGCATTTGGAAAATTTCGTGAAATTTCGAGAATCTCGGACAGAATTCTGTCGCAATTTCCAAAATTCTCCTCCCCCTGGAAAAGATTACGTTACAAACGCGATAATTGATCGTGTTATCCAAATAACCTCGATCAATAACACCTGATCAATAATCACCGCGCGAGATTCTCAATCAAGGTATCCTTCTCCGCCAATTTCAATTCGACAAGTTTCATTAATATTTCGAGGGGGTGAATTTCGATCGGCCGAAAATAGCCAATCTTGCGTCATTGTGCCCGGGTGGAAATTTTCTTATTTGTCCTACCATAACGCGAAATTATTCATACCGTATGAATGCACGCGCGGAATGTTTGCAACTACATACGGGATGAATAAGAGGGGTATTGCGGATCGATGTGTGCGTGTGCGTGCGAGAGAGGAACGAGAGAAACGGTATAGAACAAATTTGGCGAATTTCCATATAAATTTGCTGGACAGAAGCGACGCGCACACGCACACACGCCTACGCTTTTCGAACGAGCGATATCACGCACGAGGACCCGTGTGCCCCGTGCCTGTGTCCCATCTAACACTCTCGATGGCGCTACAAATTCCGCAAACTAAGTACGATCGTTTTAATATAGCTTCCTGAATCAATGATACCGGATGTGATTATTAATCGAGGTATTATCGAAAGGGAAATTTCGAGTGGGAAAGTGGATTACGGTTTGTCGAACACGCTCGTTCTGTGTATATATATATATATATATTATTTTTTTTTTCTACCAAATGTTTCACCACGTGTGATAAAAGTGGATACATAATCGTTAAAAGTTTTTAAATCGTTGTCTCGTCGAGTTTTATTTTATTTCACTTTCTTTTTTTAATAATAATTCTTTAATTTGACAGAGGACAATATATATATATATATTGAGATAGGTATTTTTAACAAGTATCTTTATTATTTCTCAATTACACCGACAAAATTAGATTGCGTACTCTTTCGTGTTTATATATAAAAGAATTAATATTAACAGAGATTAAAACATTTTTAATAATAATAATTCTATTTAAAAACCGATTTTAAAAAACGTCCCAAATCCCTAATTCCTGGAAGAAGAAGAATCAAGGAACGAACCAGTCTGACATGTTTTTACAAAAATACAAAAATAAGCAGATACGTTTGCTCGACGTTTCAGCACTCGATGCTGTACTTCTTCCACCACTACGAGTTGCCCGTGATCCTGCAGCAGGCCCAGTTGCAGCACCTTCTGTTCCGCAATCACGCACAGGCCGGTATGGCCGAGCAACCCTCGCCCGAGCAGCCCATTTCGAATCGGGCGTTGACCGAGCCAACACCTGAACCCTCACCTGCGCGAGAGTCGACGACAGCCACCGAGAATCAGGCCCAACAAGCGACCCCCTCGGCTCAGTTGCAACAAGGACCCGAGTCGACCAATCCTGCCAACGCGGAGGAACGAGTCGAGGCCGCAGCGGCGACGCCATCTTCGTCCACCAACGAAGAACAGAGCAACGAAGGTAACCAAAGAGATTCGAAATTTTTCTAACCGTTTCCATTTATCGTGTGTGTGTGTATTTTCTTTTCTCTCTCTTCGTGTTGGCTGACGTTTGTTTTCTTTTCTATTTTCCACTCCTTTCCCCCAATCTTGTGATACGTTTCAATTTTTCGAGGAATTGAAATACGATTGATGACAGAAATTGAAAATGAATCCTTTTGGAATTGTCTCGAAATTGTATTAAGTTTTTATGCTTTTATTATTAATTTCAATTTTCGATCATCAATTTAGACGTCGCTATACTTTCAACAATTGCATTAAAGATTTGACGCAGTCGACGTGGACTACGGAGTTGGATAGTTGGATATCACCTTTAAATCGGACAGTGTTTAAATTCAAACTTTTTTGAGATAAAATGAGTAGAAGTAGTTCTATATGTATATATATTTGAAAAGAAATTATTAAATGATTAAATTACACGATACACTACTCGCCAGTAAGTGGATTTAATTGGTACTATTAATTCTTTACGAAAAAGATTATTGTTTTCAATCGCGAGCAACTTATCTTGGTACGTATTCCACGTGGATAAAAAGAAAATTGTGCAGTTTGAATCATTTTACAAAGTTGAATTTGTAGATCTTATTACCTATAATTATCACGCTCTATTTGCATCTACGACATCTTATGATCCCGTTTCAATTCATCCTCTTTAATCTCATTCACTGTATTTCCATATATAATCATCATCTAAAATGAAACAAACATGTCAACAATAATTTTCTATTTATTTTTATATATATATATATAATCGATACATTTTCCTTAGATATTCTCTACGACGGGGGAAAAAAAAAGTTACCACGAATTTAAAAAAAAAATACTTTATATTTTTTATACGTATACTCTGAGGAGAAGAAGAGGTGAATATTAAAACCGAAGTGAAATTCGTAAGGATGAGAATATATTCGAGAGTCGGTCTCATGAATATTTTTTGCATCGTGAGTATCCGTTATCCACAACGATTCGCGAGAGTTACCACTCTCGAATGTATTTGCGTCCCTTAAAAAAAAAAAAAGAAAGGAAACTAATCTTGTGTTCGATAATCACACAAAATTCAAAAAAAGAAAAAAATAAAAAAGAAAAACGTATTTTACTTTTCAGAATTTTACAAAAAAGAAGAAAAATAACACACGCCTATTCCATTCCTTTAGCAAAAGATTTAACTCGTCGTCGATGCGATGACTTTTTTTTCTCTGTTTTTTTTTTCCACCGAATTTTCGTCCCCGAATCTTCGTGCTCGCTCGTGATTCCGAGTGCAAGCAAATTTAATGAATATCCACCGCACTTTAATCACGTTTCATTGATCCGGCGTGTAATATTAATTTTCATAAAAGACACTTTGTAATTGCACGTCCGTTTTTACAACTTCGTCATTTTCATATGCGGCCGTTGTACGCAACGACCGCTGCTTTTTGATACAGAGCTCGCAGAGCAGAATGGGAAAAC